CATTTAACAAAGACATTTCAAGTCAGCCATAGATTCCAATTGGATTCCTACTTTGGATTACTCCTAGATTCCTACTTAATACATTATATTCAGTTAATTAGTAGTTTAAATGTTTGTAGCAAAGGAAACCCATCAGATTGCATCGAGTCATTACTTGCAGCATTTGCTCCTCCTGACCAGCAGGGGGCAACAGCAGATCACTTGTGTTGAGTTGATGACTTAACAGCAATCCCTCATACAGACCGTGCATGAAGCGACGGGGGAGAAGAACTCTCCTCCAACAAAGAAACCTCTAGCAGAACCGGGCTCAGTACCAGCAGCCATCTGCCACGACTGATGGGAGCTGAGAGAGCAGAGACACAACAGGTCACCTGATCAGGAGAACTTTGTTACTGGAAGTGACAAGTTAACAGCAGGAGAGGGAGAAGGGGTAGGTGATGGCAGCATCATGTCAGCCAATCAGAACCCCAGACCAAGTGTAGCTTCAATGGAAAGAAAAATAACTGGGAACAAAAAGTTAACCATTTGTACAACTACTGTTAATTCATATAGATGGGTTAGATTTTTCCACTCATGGTCCAGTGTGTAATAAAACTAACTTATTTTTTCCCCTCCATGGGCTGCCACCTTATCGTGGTGGAGGGGTTTGAGTGTCCCAGTGATCCTTGGAGCCGTCTGAGGCTTCATGCCTCTGCTTGGATCTGGTCTGCCAGGGCAAACGGCTCCTAGGTGAGGGATCGGACCAAGAGCAGCCCAGAGACCGCTTAGAAATGGACAGAGTCAGGGTTTCTCCCTGCGTGTTATCAGCACGGTGGGCCACCTGGCTTTACTTGCAACCCACTAGGCTTGCTTTATTTTAAATGGGGATTTTTATAAACCCAAAAGCAGTGAGATGCTGATGAATGACCTTAGTGATCCTACCACCAGGCTCAGCAGCTTTTCTACGGGAAACCCTGGAAGTGTTCCCAGGTGAGCAAGTAAGGCACCTATGGTTGAGGCATTTCTTCCCTCTTGTCCTTCACTCAGCAGTTTGTTTTTTTTCACTTTGTTAGGTTTTTATTTTCTTTCTTTACAACAGTCTTTTGA